TCACTCTTACTGTTTAGCCAGTTACTCACAATGGGAAAAATAGCTGTGTACTGCAACACAAATTAAGCCGGTTCATATAATGTCACCCACTGCTGCGAGATAGTCATGTGTTGATTTGAGTCAATGTGAAAGAGCAATCCAACATGCTGAAAAACCTTAGGAGGGCTGGGAGGATTGGGTTAGGACTTTTCTACTGTATTCCACTAGCCATAGCAGTGTGACTCAAAGTACATCCACATTATTAATTTTGGCAAAATAACAGTGTATTCAAGCTGCTTGAGAATAAACTTGAAGAATGCCAGTTTAAGGGCTGGACCTGTTCATACAGAGGGTCTGTAAGAGCACTGGATTCTTCATAGTGGGGCTCCAAGACTTGGCTTTTGTCCCCCCAAAACCCAAGTGGAAGTGAACGAATGAAATAAAGAAACTGCATAGTTTGACCTGCATGCTCCTTTCCCTGGTTATTTTCTGCTAGTTTGCTCTCTGGTGAGGCTGCCAGCCTTCAAGGCCTATAAATGGACAAACTAATCCAGCATCAGAAATGTTCCCAGCTGCAGCAGCAATTCAGTATATGTCTCCCTGCTCACCTCCCTTTCAATCTAGGTGCTTTACACTTAAAGCCACTTTTAAGCACTGAGGCTTATTTTAAATGCTTCATCCCATCTATCACAGTTACACGTCTGAGCTGGGTGATTTGCCGTTGGAGGGATGTTTGCCATTCTCCGTCGATGAGAGGGAGCCCGAGGACCTCACTGAGGCTGGACTTGGATGCCTGACTGAGATAAAATAAGATAATTTCTGCCCTGAATCTCCTGAAGAAGCTGTCATGTCCCCTCAGCCTGCATTTCATCCAGCTGTTTGCTGTGGGCCACGTGACCTGCAGGTTGCCTTGCAATCCATCACTGTCATTCACACTGCACTTTATTAGTCCCCAGGGAGGAAAAACTCATTTCTTTTAAAGCCAGCCATGATTTGACAGAGACCTGGCTCATTTTCAGTTGTCTGGTGACTGTTCCTCTTGCTTGATTTCATCTTTAGATCCCCACCATAATCAATCCTCCCATGGGTCTGGGGGGACCCCACTTGGCAAGCGTGTGCTACCAGCCTGCCTGACCTCCCATGGCTCAGCTCTGCTGGGTGTGTAGGATGTGTAGTCTTGTTCCTCTGTAGGTCTTTGCATCTTCTTCTCCACGTGGCTATCTTTTCCTGATGCAGGGGACACCAGTAGACCTGGTGCTGGCCTGTCCATGGGATGCAAGCCTTTCATTCTGGTGTCCCAGCTCTCTGTTGCACTGTCTAGTTTGCTTCATTTGTCAGTCTTGTTTCCAAATACCCATCTGCTTCTTACCTCCCCAGTATCCTCTTTCTTGCTCGGGTAAATACAGGGAGAAGTTAGTTGTAGGAAAGGCTGCATCTGCCCCACTTAGATGCTGCAACGCCTCCAGTCCTCACACCATTCAACTCTTAAGATAGAAAGAGTCATGCTACTGTCCTGCCTAACATAATTTTACGATCATCTTGAAAAACAGAGAGTGAATCTGTCAAGCTCCACTTAAGGAATGCTTCTTCTGGAAGGGGACATCTTTCAGCATTTAGAGCTGAAAAGATTAGGCTATGTGTCATTATCTGCCTTTATACAAAATCAGAAGAGAGAAAGTATCTTAAACTTGAAATATTTTAGTTTCTGGTAGATCTGAGGAAGAGTTGTACATGTAAATAAAGAACATTTACAGATAAAAAAGGCAATGGATAGCTTCAGCGATGCATATACAGTATCATCTGGTTTCAAATACTTTAGTCAGACAGAAATTTCAAAATAATACGTGAGGGTGGGAACTCTGAAATTTAAATTCCCAACTTAGAAGTGATCCTATTTCTTCTTTTCTTTTTCCCCATCCCCAGTGTGAGGAGACACCTCCGTAATGTTTCGGCTGGGTACACAAAACCATCAGTCCTCTTTGAAAATTTCTGCCGGGTCTTGTGACAGACTTGTTAACAACCTAATTTGCAAAAATCAAACTCCACTCCTAAACAAGCCGAAACCCAATTTGAGTGATTCTAGTTCTTGTTAGTACTTGTGTTGGTAACTATGTGTTCTGTATGTTGTGTTTTTAGGTACTCCTTTGTCGTAGCTATGGGATACCTCACGTTGTGCCACATAAGCCGAATATACATATTTCATTATGGTATTCTCACTACAGATTTTTCCGGGTGAGTCTTTGCTTGTGAGTCTGCAAGCTGGGTCCTGTGTCAATTAGTATTAGTTAAATTTGGTACGTTTTAGGAATAATTTTTATGTTACCTGGGGAGTGCCTGCAATTTTGTTTCCCTTAAGCTTTTTCTAAGACTTTTTTTTTAAGGAAGGAATAAACACTGTGTGATTTTTGCATTGACTCGTTGTTTCTGCTGTTTTCTTACTAGGCACTACCTAGTTAGGAAGGTAGAGCTTGGTTAGCTAGACTTCCACCTAGAGCAGCCTGGGAGGGTAAGTCTGCACAGTCGCTCGCTGGAGCTGGAGGAGCACTTACAGCCTTGGTGAGCGGCATGGCTGGTGCTCCGGTCCCTGGTGGTCTGTCCTGAGAGGTGGGGTGGGCTGCCCTCCTCCCACCTTCATAGGCACAGCCGTCGGCTGTGGGTCATCCTTTCCCCTGTTCTGATTTATCTTGATGCCCCAGCTGGGAAGGTGTTTCCCACCTCAGGCACTCCAGCGGGCGGGAGAGGAGGGCTTGGGCAGGGGGTGAGTGGCTGGGGGAGCTGGGAGGTGGGTGGGTAACCTGGGCAGAGAGACATGAGATCAGCTTTCCCTCTCAGTGCCAGTCTTACGGGTTCTCTCACAGGGGCAGGTTGTGGCTGCCGTTTAAATAGCGTGGCTTTTTATATGCCATGCATTTCTGTGGAACAGTGTTTTTCATATACGCTGTAGTATCTATTTCATTCCACTGAAGCAGTAGAGGATGCTTTGCAAAAATATAGACAGCTAACTATGTATTTTGTTTATGAGAGGAAAGTGTACTTTTGCATGATTTAAAAACAGTGTGCTAATCCGTATTCCACTTGTTTAATTGAATGTCTTGAATACAGAGTAATTAGTAACATACTATGAAAAACCTCTGTAAGCTGGCACAGTAAGTTACAGATGCCTCTTCCAAGCCCCTGTCTTCTTACAGGCAACTGGAGCTTTTTGCTGTCTGTGTGCATGTGTCTCTGTGTGAGGTGGTGGTGGGTTGAAGCATTTAATTAAATTGTGGGGGGGAAGTTCTTCTGAGACTTTTGAGGTTTTTTTCTTAGAGGAGGGGGCAGAAATGGGAACTCATACATTTAGAGAAATTTAGTTCTGTAATTTTTTCTGCGGTTCTTTTAATACACAAAAGCATGTCCTGAAAGAGCATGACACACCAAGAAGCCTATAAATGGGATTGGAATGGTATAGCTCTGTGTGTGTATGAGACAGAGACAGAAATACGAGAGAGCATGCTTTTCGGAATAGTGTGTTCAGAAATGCACTGTGAGGCATATTAGCAGTCTCTCTCTGAAGACATTTAATAAAGATCCAGCTGAGACTGGGGATGGAAGAGGAGGAATGGTGGTTGCTTATATTGTAGACTAGGTAGCATTTTCTGCTCCCTTGATGAAAAGGGAGCTACTTTTATCTAATGATGAGCTTGAGGATAATAATGGTACTGAAAGAATAATACCTGAACTTACTCTGTTATTTGATTTTGTCCTGATGCTTTAAGATATAAACCAATTCTTAAACTTCAGTCAAACATAAAACTGCCAAGTAGTAACCAACTGGGAAGTGTAGTATGGATATGAACTACATCTTCATGGTATATTTTAAAAACTAACAATAAATAAAAATATTGTAGTGGTATTAATAAAAATTTGCAATGCAAAGTGCTCAAATCCAGGTCAGCCTCCTAAACCTGTCTTAAAACCTGTTTTCCTCAGCTGTAAGTAATATGTGCCCACTGAGGCTTTCTGCACATACCTAAACAGATGGGATGACACAGAGAGACAAAATATACTCCCTGACCGCTGTTTTACCATGTATGAGCAGCAACTGAACCTCCTCTTGCTCATTCTCCCATGTTTGATGATTCTACATCTATTGCATATGGTAATAGGGAAGCATTCAGACAGGCTTCTGACCGGGAGGATGGCCTTAAAGTTCTCCTTCAGGACTTCAGAAACAACCAAGACAGAATCCATGGAGCGATGCCCATCTCCCTCCAGCCTCCCACGCTTTTGGGCGAACGTGGCTGGGGATATACACTGAGAAGGCAAAACGCTGGATTTAAGGGAATCTTTAAGAGAGAACAAAAAGCCTGTCATCTGCTGGCTTGTATTTGAGGTCTCAGTATCTCGTAAGTCTCTGGTGATATCTGATTGCAAGGAGGAAGTTTTAATCCACATCACATAGGCACATAGCCAGTTCTAGTGCCATCAGCTTTCCAGTGTCAGTTCCCTAAAGTGACGAGCCAGATGTTAGATGAGTGTTTCCCAACGTTGGTGCTGAGAGCTGGCACACCTCATTTGCTCTCTTGACCTGCGTTGTGCACTTAACAGTTTGCATGCATAAGCTGCCTGATGTGTGCTTGCAAATGTATTTTTTTGGTTCTTTAGTAATAGTTGGTTGTGCTATTTGTTTGGAATTGCCCCATTTTGAGAACACAGCTTGTAAAATACAGGTAGAGATGGACGGAGAACAAGGTAAGTTTTGAGTCATGTCCTAAGTAAACTGGAAAATCAAAGTGTGGCTCACCACTTCAAGGTTAAGAAGTAAGGAAACTGATGACTAGCTAATTCTTCTAACTCATGCAAAGGGTAGGTTTGGTCAGTGACTCCCACAATCAAAACTGTACTCAAGCTGCTTGCAGCAATTTTTTGATTTAAGAGTGTTTCATGTATTGCATAGTAGTTAGGGAAAAGTCAATTTTTTTTAAAACTACATGCCAGGTTTTAATGAAAACCAGTTCCAGTTTGCTACACTTTAATTTTAATTACTTTTTTTAAAATGTATATATATTTTATCAAAGTTCTTTCGGTTATTTTATTTCACAAAAATGTGGTGACATAATTTAGGAATTTTCTCCTGACTACTTTCTCAAAGAAAACTATTCATTTTTGAACACTAATTGTAAAATAACTGAATGCTGTGGTTCCCCCTTAATTCAAATCAGTCTTTGAGAGAAACATGCCTATTTTACTTTGCTTGGTTTGCCATAGCATTTATACATTGTACCTAGGAATCCTAAATCCTAACTCTTTCTCTCTCTCTTTCTCTCTCTCATTTCTTCTTTATGCTAAGAGGATTATGCTGGTAAGTTGCCTGGTTTCTATAGAACTTTATAAAAATGGTAATACTAACATACAGTTTGGGGTTTTTCTTTGTATCACAGGCTCAGACCGAGTATAGTAGTACTATGGCTTTAGGGAGAAATTAGCTTAAAATAAATCAAGGGATCTTGATTGGGATTTTTGGAAACTAGTAATAGATATGGTTTCAATCTAGCAAGCTACATTGAACAAATGCCATATGCATATGATCATCTGGACGGGATTCAGAGGAGCTCCTCCTCACCCATATGAAGTTGTGTCTGCTTTAATCCTTTGCTTGATTAAGACCATAGAGCTTTTTGGTTTCCTCTTTGAATTCTCTGAGCAAAATTTCCTAATGTTGTAGCTCATTTGGTGAATGTCAGGGAACGATCGTACATATGCGAGTTTCTTGGTGCCATTCCTTACAGAAAAGAAAGTCTGTTTGTGAAAATCGCCACAAACACTGGCATTGCTTTCAATCTTCTGTTGGTCTTAGAGAGACCAGAGCTGATTTATCAAGGGAGACTTGAGCAGTTTTCTTCCCTACAGGTGTCAAATCTGTACCTCTTACCTGAGTGTTTTGGTGGACATCACTCTCCAGAAGGAATAGACATCTTTATGTTTTTGCTCTGTCCCAAATGCAGAACAGCAGCAGCATTCTCAGCAAACCGCTTAGAAAGGGATGGTCGTTGAAAGAGCCCTCTCGAAAAGCCATATAAGCAGATACCTCAGTAACAAGTGTCACTTCAGGGCAGTGAATTTTTGTTGGGTGGTTAGTGCTTTGTTGCTGGTTTTTCCCCTCTCAGTGGCTTAGTATCAACCACAAAAGAAAGGAACAAAGGTACAACAGCCATTTTTTACAAAGGAAATACATTTGCTGATGGAAACGAACATAGATGTAGTCTGTTACCATGTTAAAACACAATGCAGAAATAGTAACTGGTCTGGCGAGTTCAGTTGGTTATTTTTATTTTCTTGTCTTTTAAATGTATCAAGTGCAATATGTTGCCTGCAGTGTATGTTCCAGCAGCTCTGGGTAACTTGGGTCGGTGGCAAGTCCCCAGAGGCAGTACAGTAGCACACGTGCAGAGGGTGAGTAAGAGGAGGTCAGCCAGTTTTCCGTGCCCGCTCGCTGCTTGGCTGCTCTGCTGGGCATTCGTCTGCTTGAAACTGCACTGAGATCACTTACCATTGGTTACACAGAAGCCCTGCAAGAGCCGCAATATGGGAATTAGCCAGAATTCAAGCAGGCAGGCAGTACTGGAAAGTTCCACATATCTAGTGCATCCCAGGGCACTTCTCCAGAAGTAAATATTCTTTTAAGTGAAATGCTTCTATCATGAAGGTGTAAGAAACGCTCTTTGGGAGCTTTCACCAGAAAAACACATGAAGCAAACTGGAAATTGCTTTGGAGGTATGAGCGTGTTTAGTAAAATATTTTTCCTCTGTGTGCTTCAGCACTTCATTTTACTGTCAAAAGCAGAAGTAAGAGCCCGTTGCCAGTGAAGTCGCTGTGGCGTCTCTGGCTCGGTGATCCCCTCGGCAGCACCGTTCATGTTGTAGCAGAGTGTGACTGTGTGAACTTCTCATCATGGCTTCAGAGCTAGAGAGATAAACCTGAAATAAACATTTGCTGTTTTGGAGTCTTGTCTGCAATGAGCCTTTTGACTCCACCTCCTCTCTTAGTGAAATCAGGTCAGTGGAAACTATTTCTAGCGAGTGTGTGCCAGACTCCTCCATGGGATTACCTAAGGTCAGGCAGACTCTGCTTGGTAAACGTCTCTTCTCTCATAAGCATCAAAGCTTGCTCAGTGCAGAAGCCAGCCTGTGATACGGGGAGGATCCCCACAGCAGGCTGCAACCGGTGCTGACATCTTTAGTTCCAGTGGCCTGTGCTTCTGGGCAAATTTATTACATTGGGGCAAGCCATGTTTAAAAATGACATTAACTGGTATGTTTTCATTTGGGAGGTTTAATTAGGGGGTAAACCCCTCTATTGAGCATTCTTTGTAAACTGTTGCGTCTTTGCCTTGTGTTATTTTTCAAGGCATCTAACTGAAGGTAAAGGCAATTTTGGTTTTTGTTTATTTGTTGAAGTTTCATATTTCATACTGACCCCCGGGACAATTTCTTGATGTTTTGGGTTTTTTTAATTAAAAATTGGCCACTGCGGTTTGTGTGTAGGAGGTACAATGCAGCTACAACCTGAGATTAAACTCTTAGCCAATGTATAAAACATAGAGGGGGAGAAAAAAATTGGGCCACAGGTAAATCTGATTCTGTGCTTCTGTGCTAGTTTGTAACTGTAGTGCATGTAGAGGATGTAGAATCATAGCACTTAGCGTGTAGCTGCAAAGCGGTTGGAAGGTGTTCAAATATGATTGAGTTCAAGTCATTTAGGCTTCTTAAACATGTGTTTTATTTCAAATGCCCTGTTTCTAGGGGTAGATCTTCATGCTTCGTCTGTAAACGCAAGTATAGTAGGTAGATTTTCTTTTTAAATTCAGCCTAATAATTTGCCCCACTCCCAATAACCTGTGCATCTCTCAAGATTTGGGAGAAAGAAAAATTATTGGAAGTTTTATAGCTTTGTTAACTCCCCTTCTTGTTTGCAGCACTTCTGGCTTTTTTTCCAGTAGAGTCTGAGGTTTAAAATATTATCATGTCAGAAACAGTTGACTATATGTGATATGATGCCATATTTTACATATTAACTTGTTCAATGTTTTATTGCTGTTTAAAATTAGAGGTTACCTGAAAGGCTGAACATAAATGACAATTCAATACTCTGGTATTGCCAAGTTTTAATAATCAGAACTCCTGTGTATTTAGGAAATGATGATATTAATTTTTTTCCCCCTAAATTAAAAGTATTTTTCTTATCTAATTTTTAGTATTGATTCAGGACTTGCGTCCTCATGCATTGTTTTGCAAATATGGGGGAAAGGACTGTTTTTCATTCTGAAGAAACAAAAACAGTCTTAGACTTGCTCTGTGTGTGTGTACGTGATGAGATTGGTGAGTCCCCAGGGAGGAGTGGGACAGGTGTGGGTGTGCAGAAGGTGGGGGGCCCCCACACCCCAGAGGGGTGCCAGAAGACGACAGAGCTCCAGCACTGCTATTGCTTTGTTGTGCTCTGCCCTTTCCTGCAGCGAAGGCTTGGTCCCCCAGTGAGATGGAGTCAGGGCGGGAATGGTAGGTGGGTGAGGGAGGAGGAAGATGCTCCCTGTTCACCTGAAACCTTGCTTACCCTTTGTGTGAAGCGTTTAATGATATCTGATACTGATCTTGTGAAAGATTTAGAGGGTGTCATCTCATTGCCACTGTACAGCCGGTTTCCGCCTTTGTGAGTGGGGTATAGAAGAGATACATAGAATCATTAAGGTTGGAAGAGGCCTCTAAGATCATCGAGTCCAACCGTCGACCCAACACCACCATGCCCACTAAACCATGTCCCTAAGCGCCTCATCTACCCGTCTTTTAAATACTTCCAGGGATGGGGACTCAACCACTTCCCTGGGCAGTGGTATTATACGTAAATGTATAATACGATGATGGCAGGAGGGAGAACTGAAGGTATCTCAGATGCACTTTATGGGTGTCCCTCCCACCCATGGTGTCAGCAGCATCACTTTTGTGCTCGCTTGTCTCCTCTGGAGTTGGGATTTGAGGGAGGCTAGACCATCCGTCTTTTCTGATTAAAGTACAAGAGAGGTTGACTTGTTCTGCCGGGTTACAATGTGCCATCAATGAGGCAATGAATTCCTAATATAGATGAAGAGAACCTCTCTCTTCTCTGTGTTTATACATTGTATGACTTTAGTGCAGGCTGCACTTCTGCTTCCCTCAGTTAATCAGCACATCAGGATTGTTTGCATTTTTGTTCTCTCTGGCTTAAGGCGGGGGGCTCAATTTTCTAAGACAAGTGTCTAAATTTAGGCACTTAAAGGCATGCGGTTTTGGCTCTGAGCCTGAGGTTTAAAGTTACCCACTTCAATATTGGCATAAAGTGCTTGCCGTAAGAAACATATGCAACAAATTGAACCAATTTGAAACAAGTGTTAGTGTTCACCCATAAATCTAAAAGTTCAAGCACTGACAAAATAAAAATCTGTGTTTATTGCAGTAGAACTGCTGGTTCACTGACAGCCTCTGTATCTCTTAAGGATTAAAAAAATCTGCTTTTTCATATGCTTAAAGGATTGGGATTTATGTATCTTTGAAAGCAAAGCTAAATTTTGTTTGAATGGGAAAATCTACTTTGAGAAATAAGATGTTGAATATAATGGTGAAAACAGCTTATAAATAACTTTTCTTGAAAGATGAATTGGACTAAAAATTAGAATGACTGTTTCACAATATCAGAGTTGTCTGGAAGGTGAAAAGTCGTTGTTGAATTTGTCCATTCCTTAGCTGCAATCAATGGTCTAGGTGAGCCAAGGAGAGCTGCTGTACAAACCCTTGTGTTACGGTTGTATTCCAGATCTGTGTATATTTAAGCTTGTTCTGGATTTTATGTGCAAGCTTTTTTACCAACATTTCAAATAGAGACCACTGAAATGATAAAAATAGTTTCTGATTAAGAAATTGGCTGATATTGCATGTTCTCTGTTTTTGGATAGAAAATGCAAATTACTCTACCCACGCAGAATTACATGTGGACTCTTGAAAAAGATCAGCCATATTTAGTATTTGAAAAAAAAAAAAAAAAAAAGACTGCTTACAGTGAAAAAATGTCTTTTTCCAGTATTCTTGTTTACCATGATCAGCATATTAATTATCTTGAAAATCAGGTTGATTTATCATAGTGGGATAATCAGATTGCCATTATCTTAGCCATTGGGTTTATATTTGATTGTAACCAGTAGGTCAATTTAGTCAAGGATGATTCAGAATCTCTTGAAAAATCTCTGCAGAACATGAATACTTGACTGCTATTTTAGACACTGATATCATTGAATGGAACTTTCACTTTTTTTTCTTACCTTGAGAAATCGGTGGGGAAAATACAGTGCTCAAACTAAAAAAAAGCCTTCAGCTTTTTTTCTTTCATTGAATTCCAGAAAGTACGTTACAATATTTAAAATGAATAGCCATAATATTTGGAGTAATCATCTATGTCTCTTTAAAAAGTTCCAAATATCGGTCAAACTCTGTAAATAGCACGTACACAAACTCAGGTTTTAATTTCCATGTTGAAGACATCATTTGTGTTTAAGCAGAAACCTCTGTATGGTTTATGTTGATAACTTATCACCAAATTGAGAAACAATCCATTGTATTAATCCTCAGCGAAGACAAATCTCTTCTGTGGAACTAGTTTTACATATAATCATCACAATTAATGCTTTTAAAATAATGATGTATCCTCATCACCCATTACAACCTCCTGGCTCTTGCGGTTGTGAAGGTCTCGTAAGTAGTGTGAGATCTGGGCACCCTGTGCTGCTGTCCCCAGTGTCAGAGAGATGGGGAGAGGCGGTGTTAGCAGGTGCTCGTCCCTCACTTTGCCTGCCATGGGTCCTTCCAGATTACAGGTGTTCAGTGCCGGGTTTTGTTTTCAGGGCTCCACAGCCATTAGAAGCTGTATATGGACCACAATTAGCCCGGGAGCCTCTGCCTACGAGGGACTGGTTAGTTGTCCCCATGGTTTTCCCCCCTTCTTTCTTCTTACGTACCTCTGAATGCTCCTGGCTGTGTCCTTTACCCTCATGGGACCAGCTCCTGATGCCACCAAGCTGAGTTTTGCCTTTTTTCTATTCCTTGGCTGCAGCAGGTCACATTTGCCTATAGTGCTAAGAAGCTCTGTAAAGCTGGATATGTGAGGTGTAAGCAGCCCTATTGAACGTAGTGGCTATTTCTATGCTGCTTGTTTGGTTGGCCCCAAGCTGCTGGGTTGTTGTAGCTTGTAAGCGTGGCTCAGGTACAGCTACCTCATGTTTTCGGGAGGCTCCAGATCCCACATGCCCGAACGCTCCCAGTTGGATGGTACATCTTGGACAGGCTGTCCACAAGGCAGTTGCATGGCCAAGAAGCAAGTGGGAAACTGCTGTGCTGACAGCTATTCTGGTATTTGCACGTAGCCCTAATTGATAGGGCTATTCATGTGGGGAAATAAGCATGTGTATCTGCAGAGTCGACATTTTTTTAGGGCACTGAGGAGACAGACAATAGGAGAGTAACAGTAAGAAGAGCCAGAGTTATGTTACAGCAGCATTGCTGTGTTCTAGTGTTGTATCGTATGGGGCTTGAATTTGGCCTTTGCCTGAAAGGAAGCCCAGTGGACTGCAGAAGCTGGTGTTTCCTAGTGGTGCGATTTCTTTTGAATTACAATTTGCAGTGCTGCAGGATGGGGAGGCATAAAATAAGGCTTTGTGCGCACTTAGCAATTAAAAATTCCAGTGCAAGTTACTGTGGCATTGTTTTGAACCCAGGCAATTGTCTTATGCCTGAGTTCCTCCTTCAGTTTTAATTGGATGTTTTCCACTTGTTGCTAATACAGTTATGCCTCTTAAAAGGATAAAGACGTTCAGTAAGAAAGTTGGGAATAATTTGTATTACAAGACATGTAACTGTTGTTTCTGTCTTTGTTTATAGTCCGCTGATGATAATTACACAGAAGATCACAACACTTGCATGCCAGTTACATGACGGTAAGAAAAGGAATCTCTTCCCATGGCCTGAAGACAGCCTTTTTATTCCAGCGCAATCTGTGGTTGAGTTATGGAGTGGATGAATGTAGTTCAGCAAGTTGCTCCAAATAAAGAAGAAAAATGCTTTGTGGAGGAAAATGAGAAACTTCAAGGTTTGATCAGTTCTCTAGGATCAAACTGTCTTTGCAGTAACGAAGACAACTGCTTTCCCCTTTGGGGGCTCTGCTTCCTTGGGGCCCAGTTTGGATTTTAGGTAGTACCAGAATCTGCTGTTTAGATGCTACAGTGCATCTCCATTAAGCTCTCTGAAGCTGTTCTTGATTCTCAGAAATCAAGAGTTGTGTTTGATACATAGGTTCAGTCATTAATGTTAATGTAGCAAAAATATGCTATCACTGATATATTCAGTGATAGTATACTCCATAAGTTGCAAGGGATGGAATTCAATAGCTTTTTCCCAGTGCTGGGAGAAGCACAGTTGCAAGCAAAATAACATCGTCTTCAGTCTTATGCTGTGCTGTGACAAAGAGCACTATTATTTCCCAGTAAAATGCCTGTGTCTAGTACAGTGCAAAGGCTAGAAATGTCAGTTGTCATCAGTACCATTATTGCTCATGTCTACTGATGTTGCAGTGTGAATTTCTGATGGTCTGAGGCCCATTGCCTTGTAAAATGTGTGTGACTAAGTAGCCTGCTATGGAGTTGTTATGATCTAGGCTTTAGGTGATGGCCACACCACAGACTGCAGGGTCTGTCACCGTTCACAAGCCAAGTTTACACAAGTGGATCTAATGCTTTTAGCTGGCTATAATGGGTGCAGCTTGAAGCTTGGCTAATTGACCTTGTTGTTGACATTCATGTTGCTGGGGCTTCTCTGCTTCTGTTATTTAAGCTAGCCAGCTCAGGTATTGCTGCGTGCCACAGTGGTGTGCAGCCTAGATGCACACCTAGAATATTGAAGGTGAACGGACAGAAAGGAAAAGATAACAGCAGAGGTGGGAGCATTTTAAGCAAACCAGAAATCCTACAGATTAATGATGGTGGGAAAGGCTCCTTACATTGTGAACATCCATATATGGAGCAGTTGATCAAATGGAGGCAGCTTGCAGTTCAGGTGTTACTGACAAATCTCTATTGGTAAAAATTTAACACAGCTGCCCATAAATGGAAACAGACAAACAAAATACCCAGCCGTTTAAGTAATTAAGTGCTTAATTGTTTCCCTGGAACTCGTGCCCTCCCAGTATTTCTGAACTGAAATAGCAGAGAGAGAATGGAAATAAGCAGCTTATCAGCAGTCTTTTTAGGAAATGGGTCTTGTGTGTGTGTATTGGTAATTATGGCCAGTAGATTTAGAACAGTAGTGTTAATTGATGCCAAATCCCTGATCTAGTGAAGATGTATAAATGCATGCTCAGCATCAAGTGCTGTGACTCATCCCATGGTGAGTTGTTCTGCTGAAGCCAGTGGGATTCCTCACAGTATGCGCAGCTAAAGCTGCGGAGTGAAGGTTTTGAGATCTTTGCTATGAGCAACATCTGTTTACGCACTGGCCATCACACAAGATTTTTCCATAGTTTTCCTGGGGCATTACTGATGTGTGTGTTTAGCTTGCTCCAGCAGCAGGCTGCCAGGCTGCTCGTTCACACCAGTGGAGCTTCTGTTTCCTGAGAGCCCGTTTCTCTTCCACTGCCCACTCCTCCTGCTGTGAAATGCTCCATTTCTCACCAAGGAGCCAGCGGGAGGCTTGTGCTTAAATGAGCCAGCGGCTTCTGGGAACAGAGATTTTTCCAGCCCAGGACTGTTAGTAGAGGCTGCTGGGGGTCGCTGCCAGTTGGTGGCATTGCGAGTTGCGTTGTGCGTGTTGGGAATACTATGGCTGCTCTTCCTGAAAGCATAGCAAGGGTGAGAAAGGGGGAATAAGGTAAGGAACTGGGTAAAGAGGTAGGGTAGAACAGGAATATACTTGACCTAAAAGTTAGGAATTGAGCTGTGTTACAGCTGCCTGTGACATAGAATTCTTGAAGCTTATGGCTTTAGAAAGTTATCTGTGGGATGCAAACATAAGGCTTTGGGGATAGCTTTCACTGTTTGGCTTTCGGAAAGATCTAACGTGACTTTTCTTTCTCTCTAGGAATAGGGCGACAAGCTGAGGAACTCACTGCTGAGCAAAATCGGCTTGCTGTAAAGTAAGAATTTAATTCCCCTAGTGATTTGTGTGTAATTTCATCCGAAGAAATTTAGGGTGGTGTGGGGGTTTTGTTTGTTTGTTTTGTTTTGTTTTTTTGTTTTTATTTTTCCCTTTGCAATGTCAGGACCAACTTAGTGGCCTGGCCATGAAAATGTTCCCTGCTTCTTTCCAGTCCATGATAAGCCTAAAGCCCTACCTGTTTTTTCAATTTGCTTGAGCAGTTTTGTTTTTGTAATGCTGCTGTCAGTGCCCTCCTTACACAAACATACTTCTCTGCTATAGTCCTTATTTCTTCAATCCAGGCCTTCTGCCTTTATCACCCTGTGCTGGTCAGTAAAGCACTGAAGTACTTGGCAACATCTCATTGACGTAAATATATACTCCACATGCAACAAAACTAGTCTTCACTGAATCAACCCTTTTATATTTCGGCTAAGACTATACTGTATGGAGTTTTTGGCTGCTGTCTTCATCCTATCTGTGATATGTTATTTTCCCAAGTAGAACACTTCCTCCTCTGTCAGCAAAGCACTGCGTAGTAAAAATCCATTTTGGTTTGACTCTGACACTTCAAGTACTACTTTTCTTTGCCATAATTTTTGGACACTGAAATTTTACTTTTCCTGTCTCCCTCCGTAATGTTGGGACTAATGAAGGACTCCTAGTCCTTCACGTTATGTGACTAGTCTTCTCATTTTTCAGAGGGAGACAGAATGTTAAACGCCTTTTTTTTCCTATTTTGTCTCTCAATACAAGTGCAGGATGCAGGTGAATTTCTTTTTTTAAGAAGAATTAGCGTTACAGAATTAGTCTTAGAATCATAACTACTTTTCACCATTAAGTGTTTGTTTAAGGCCAAGGAAATTATTTCCTTCAGAAGATTCAGCTATCAGAAAATCTGTCTATGAGCTTCTAAAAGTAAGAAGGGAGTAATTTCTTGAAAAGCAAAAATCCTGTGGGGAGACTCGTATAACTTTTGGTGTCACCCATAGCTTTGTGTCTATTTTTAAAGCTCACAGCATACTGTTTAACTGCACTGGGCCCTTGTGACCATATGATTAATTCTAGTCAAATTCTCGCCAAACAGGCTTTTTTTCTTGTACAGTAGATGAGCTCATAATAGAAAAGTACATGCCAATAGCTCAAGTGTCAGTGGTAGACAAGTGGCAACTGAAGAGTTTTAAATCCCCTTTGGTAATACAGCCTTTTGTCTTCCCTCCTGTTCTTGGTCTGTTTTTGTTTCTCACTCATCCTCTGTACATTCCTTCATGCATTGCTCATGTCTCCCCACCCGCTCATGTCTCCCCACCCACCCGTGTGCAGAATCTAAGCTGAAACTAATGACTTTATTTTTAATCTTACTGTAGAGCTCAGAAGCCCAAATCACGGACTTGATTTTGCAGAACAGAAAGATGAGCCTTACCCCAAATTGTTTGCTGCATCTTTCTGTGAAATGCTTTCACCAGAGAACATATCATTCAGGCATTAACAGCTACAATAACCAGCCGGGTGAATGCAGAAAACCCTGGCTAAGCTAACTGTTTATTCAAACTAATTCCACTTCGGAATAGAAGTAGGCAACAGCAAATGTTTAACTGTTGCTTAGTTTTTCTGCTAGAAATTTATGATATAGTCTGAAAGAATTTTCAGTGGGTTTTGGTTTATGTGTGTCCATCTGTGTCTTGGACAGGAAAGTCTCGAAACACTGTGCCCTAGTTTCTGTTCTCATCTGGGGACTCCTTGTTTACTTGGATGGTGACTGTTAGCACACTTGTGGAGAGCACTGTGTATCTCACTGCAGAATTTAGATGTCCGTGTTTTCAGCCACATATATTGTTTGGCTTGCTTTATTTACAAATTACACTAGTGGTGAGAGGCCTGTGCATCTTTCTTTTCCATCCTATTGATCTGTAGCAAACAGTGGATCTTCTTAATTTTACATCTAATGTAAAATTAATCCCCCCCAAGGAACTTGTGGGGAATATGCACTTGCAAAATGGAAATAACGAACAGGATGGACTCTCCTTGACTTGACTTTCATCTTCAGCTGTCTTTTGATTTATGTGTTTTTTTTTTCCCCTTAGTTCCTTTTCCTGTTCATGATGCAATACAGGCAATTACTTCCTTTATTTGCACAGCAGGACAGAGTGCCTCTTCATTCTCTTCCTTTATGTCTCACATCACACTTCCCATTTTTCAAAAGGCTGAACCGAAGGGTGGGTGAGAGCTCCTCTCAGGCCTGAGAGTCCTGGTCTTAAATGCCTCCCTGCCCTGTGGTTTGCGTAGCAAGGCACGGTACTGCTTTGCACTGCTTGGTGGGACTTGTGCTACTCAGCTTGTGGTCTGTCAGCTGTTACTGGTCCCTGGCACACTGGACAGGTGTCCAGAAACAGTTACCAGCTTCTCACTCCTGGTACTGCTGGCCTGTTTAAAATGTGCAAGTCAATTCGTTTGGGAGTGGGTATTTAAATTCATGACTGTTTTTAGCCAAAATGTTTCTAGTAATAAGATCACAACTTTTCAGATCAGTAGCATTCGTTCGCCTGTAGCTTAAGCACTTCCACATTACCCTTGTTCTCACTGCCATCTGCTAGACATCACCGGGCTATAAGAGAGGCTGTGCTTCGTCTTCTCCAAAACAGATAGAGTGAGCTTTCAGCTGCGGGGAGAGTGGTAGGAGAGAGTTGGGGACTGAGGCAGACAGTACAACAAAAAGCATTCGTGAAAGCCTTTGCTGTGTTTTACCTTGTTTTGTTTTTTTTTGTTTTGTTTTGATGTGTGTGGATGATTTTCACAGGACAAGACCTTCTTTACTGGAGTATTTAAGCTATCTCCTCAATTTTATGAGCGTCATAGCTGGGCCTTGCAGCAATTACAAGGATTATATAGCCTTCATTGAAGGGAGGCATGTGCACATGAAACTATTAGAAGTGAACTGGAAGCAGAAGGGTTATGACAGACTTCCTGATCCTTCTCCAACTGTAAGTTTCAAAATGACAAAGATTTATTGCTTTGCAGGAGAGTTCAGCTTTGTACATGATTCTCATAATTAAAAAGTAAGAAGAAAAACCATTTTTGGATTATATTCCCAGTAAACGTTACAGCGGGGTTTTTTTCTGTGAAGTGGCTGCTGTTTTTATCACAGGGTCAGGGGTGAAGGGTCTAGTGTCTTCCTCTTGAATTCCCCAAATGCGTTTGGCTTGCAAAATGGGTCATTGGTTAATGGGTGTCCTTTGTGCAGCGATGGGAATGGTCTGCAGGTTCAGCTCCAGACAGAAGAGGAAATGTCAGGGGAAAAAAGAAAAGTCAAATCTCACCGGTAGTGCAGGGGATGTTAGAAGTACATGAATCACAGCTAATCAGAAACTGTAGCTTGTCCAGGTGCTTTGCAAGAGAATCTCACACTTTAAGATGACTTGGAGGTCATTTTTCGCATACAATTAACACTAATTTTATTTTATATTTTTTTTAATATTACTTAAGATCTTCTTATAAAATGACCTTCTTGTAAGGCAGGATAATGTGGCATGAGAACCACATTCCTCTCTCTTACCTTAAGGCGACACTGAATGTGTAGCTTTGTGAGTGTGTGCAGAACATCTCCTCTGAAATTGAGTATGTGCCTATACATACGTGATTCCGGTTGCACACGGTTGTATTTCTGCTGACTTCAGTGGTGTCACTTCTGATTTACATTAGTCTGACTGAGGTCAGAATAAGGCTGGTATTGTGTTAGATGCAAGGCAGAAGAGAATATTAAAATTTGCATTGTAACTATTTAAAGATAATTGCACATTAATTTATTCCTGAATATGAATAAGATATAAAAAGATTACTTGAGATCAAAAAATGCATTTTTGTTTCAATAGTATATTGCACTTTTATTAGTCTTTTGAGAACATGAGTCAACTTTTACATGGTATCCAAGTACCTTTTTAATTATGACGGTATCAAGGGGAGTTTACTCCTGATGTGTATTTGAAATCAAGCTTCTAACTACTGACATGATTGTCAATAATATTGGTATATAGAAAGCTAGGGAGCGGTAATAGAAAACAGCATGGCGTAGCAGATACCCTGTATCATGGGAAGGTATGCATGCTGTATAAGACGTACACTTTTTGGACAGGTGACTTTTAGCAAGACCTCTGGATGGTAGCCGGGCAATAAGACCTACTATTGAACTGAATACTGATGGTTTTGACTTCCAGGAGATGACAGTCCATATAGGGAAGATTTCTCCTTTACGTTGTAGGGTTTGTTTTTTTGTTTGTTTCCTTTCTTATTTTAGGACCTTCACTAACTGATGTAGGAGTCTCTTGTGAAGTTCATCACCAATTTTGACTTCTAATTGTTGTTTGTAGCTATCTGTAGGTAGCTCAGCAAAACAAATCAAACCAAAGCTTTGACTGTGGCCTTTTCTTTGTTACCTCTTCTAAATTAATTATTATCGACTTTGTCACTGCTAACTTTATTGGTTCTTGAAGCACATTGTTTTTGTAAGTCAAGAGTACTGCCTTTTTTTTTTTTTTTCCTTAAGGAAATGTTTCTAATGAATGTTTCATTGTTGTTTGTGCTTTTCAGGGAGCAGTGATGTACAAGCTGTGTATCACACTAGTATCTCTCATTTTATTCTTGACACTTACCAAGAACTTTCCTATGGCATATATTATTGATAATGAATTTCTTGATAAAACACCCTTCTTGTCAAGACTTGGTTACCTGTATGTTGTAACACAGGCAGCAAAACCAAAGTATTACTTTGCATGGACGTTAGGTAAGTCTGGCTATGTCACTTATTTTTGTAGATAACAAATAAGTTCATAAATGGGGGGAGGGGTTCTGAAAC